TCAGTTCTAAGTTGCTTCTCTCCTTGATTAGTTTCCACCCATTGCTTCTTCTTCTACCCTCAGGTGCCTTGGAGAATAATTTGAGTCCCACTTCTTTGTGGCAACCCCTGAGATATTGGAATACTGCTATAATGTCACCCCTGGTCCTTCTTTTCATTAAACTAGACATACCAAGTTCCTGCAACCGTTCTTCATATGTTTTAGTCTCCAGTCCCCTAATCATCTTTTTGTTCTTCTCTGCACTCTTTCTAGAATCCCAATATCTTTTTTATATTGTGGTGACCAAAACCTAATGCAGTATTTCAAGTGTGACCTTATCAAGACATTATAAAGTGGTACTAACACTTCATGCGATCTTGATTTTGTCCCTCTGTTTATGCAGCCTAGAACTGTGTTGGCTTTTTTGGCAGCTGCTGCACACTGTTGGCTCATATGTAAATAGATTTCAAATAGATTTCAGAAGTGACCAGTGGAACCAAAATGGTGAAAAAAATGTGTTCCTCTTCAAAAAGCATGACCAAATCAACATCTTGACAACACTTCATTTGAAGTGAGACTTTCATAACTATCAATAATATTAACAGCATTCAAACAATTTAAAATAACTTACAGATAATTAAAAACAGCAATAACAAATAAGAAAGAAAATAAACCTTTATTTTGGAACACTCGTCTGTGAAAGGGCATATGACTTCGCCCACCAAATTCTTCTGCTTTATTTATCAAAGCATCTTTTACCACCTCATATCCACAAAGAGCAACCATTGGTTTTGATCCCATCCAGACAGTAAATATAGGTCCATACTTCACTGTAAGCTAAAGGTAAAATTAGATGAAAACCCAGTTAATTAAATGATAAAAGTTTTTTGGGGTGAAATTACTCTAAAGCATGCTTGAAATAGGTCTTAAATTCACCTTAGAGAGATCATGTTGAATCAAAGCTTTAAGATTTCTTAAACTGTACAGAGGACCTAAATTGTTGTTGGGGGCAATATGCTGACTCTGTAAACCGCTTAGAGAGGGCTGAAAGCCCTATGAAGCGGTATATAAGTCTAACTGCTATTGCTANGCGATTTCGTCGTCCGCGGTTTTGTGGCAGAACCGTATAATTGGCTCTGCAATCAAGATTGGAGAAAGACAACCAAATTGTTGACACACCTGGACAAAATGGGAAAATGTATTCCCCACTCCACCCCAGCAAGTTATAAGAAATAAACATTATCTGCCCGGAACAAAATGGCATTCATTGGTTCTCATTTGCTTTCTTGCCCCTTGAAGTATAGAACGTCCAAGGCAAAGAAGCCTAGGGGAATAGTTATTAAGAACAAAAGTATAAAACATTTCCCCCCCACACACAAGATCTCTAGTACCAAAGTAAGGGTGTTTACCACCAGGAGAGGGGCATGATAGCTCTGGCAAACAAACCTAATCTGTAAGAAATGTGCTTTTACTCCTTTATCTTGATCATAAAAAATATCAAGATTATGTGCACCTTTGCTCATAGTGGCCTAGTTAAGTCAAAGATGAAGCAGAGCTGCCCTATTTAATCGTCATCGTTAAATCCTGCAAGACTTGGAAATGTAGAAGGAACATTAACAGGAGAGGTTGGGCAATCACTTCTTGGAGGTCGATGCAAATAGTTCTGCTCCCTGTAAAACAGGGGTGTCAAACTTGATTTCATTGAGGGACACATCGGGGTTGTGTTTGACCTGGGGGGGGCAGGGTGAGTGTGGCCAGGGTGGGGATGGCCCGCTCGAGCTCACTCGTGTTGACGGTGCCTGTGGTGGCCTGAGGGCTCTGCTAGAGAAAATGGTTTCCTGAGCTCCGTTTTCAGCTGCGATGGTTTCCTGCAACCCTCTGCCGGTAACAACGGAAGTTGGCCTGCAGCCCTCCCCAGCTTTGTTTTCACTGGCAGACGCACCCCCGGCTGGTCCTTCGCTGTTTCCATGGCAGCCCCGTGGGCCAGACCTAAGCACCCTGTGGGTCAGATCCGGCCCACACACCTTGAGTTTGACACCCCTGCTGTAAAGGGTTAGATCAGATGATTCTTGTGGTCCTTTCTATTCCACAATTCTTTTCTTCTATAAAAACAGGTTCTCTTCGGTGGTCCTTAGAACCTCGCCCACCTCCCTCATCCTCTCTGAGAGAGAAAAATGAAAAGGTCAGTCAGAGATGGCAGATCAGGACTGATCATTAGAAAAACAGAAAGAGCTGTTGAACACTGGAAACGATGATGGTCAAGATCACGTGAAGTGTTAATACCACTTTATAAGGCCTTGGTAAGGCCACACTTGGAATACTGCATTGTTTTGGTCGTCACAATGTAGAAAAGATGTGGAGACTCTAGAAAGAGTGCAGAGAAGAGCAACAAAGAGGATTAGGGGACTGGATGCTGAAATAAATGGTTGCAGGAACTGGGTATGTCTAGTTTAAGAGAAAGAAGGACTAGGGGAGACATGATAGCAGTCTTCCGATATCTCAGGGGTTGCCACAAAGAAGAGGGGGTCAAACTATTCTCCAAGGCACCTGAGGGTAGAAGAAGAAGCAATGGGTGCAAACTAATCAAGGAGAGAAGCAACTTAGAACTGAGGAGAAATTTCCTGACAGTTAGAACAATTAATCAGTGGAACAGAAGTTGCCTCTGGAAGTTGTGAATGCTCCAACATTGGAAGTTTTTAAGAGGATGTTGGATAGCCATTTGTCTGAAATGGTATAGGGCTTCCTGCCTAAGCAGAGGGTTGGACTAGAAGACCTCCAAGATCCCTTCCAATTTTGCT